ATGTACAAAAATTTTTTTTTTTTTTTTTTTTTTTTTAGAACTTCGTGTATTTTAAGATCAAAACCATAAAAATCAAATAAAAAAAAGGAGAAAGAGCCACACACACACACACAGAATTAGGCCTGTAGCAGATTGCATGAGTCTAGCGTCCGAAGTTCCCGTACGGCGTGGTTCGTCCACCTCCGCTTCTATAAGGGCTGGGAGGTTGGCCCAACCCTGGTGCTTGTCACTGCTGTGTGGTCCAAGTTGCCCTCAATTCTGGTAGGGTGATGGTCCTGAGTGCTGGTCACACTGAGGTAGGATAGTAGGGATAGGGGGTGTCTCCCACTCGTGTTGGTTGAAGACCTTACTGATACAGACTGGGAGGATCCAGCTGACTATCTGAGTTGGTTGGCATCGAGAGTGCCATAGGCGGGGATCGAACCCACAACCTCCTGAATGCCACTTGCATGCCTAACCAACTGAGCTAGGTTGCTGGACGGAGCCCAGATTCTTGGATCGCAAGAAGGGAAAAAAAAAAAAAAAAAAACCTGAAAAACGAATAGCAAGCTACTGAGGGTTGTACCGCCCCACGCGCGGCCAGGAAAAATGGCATTTCAAGCTCTAAATATGGGTAGCACCAGGTACGTGTACGAATGCGCGCGTACTCGTACATGTCCGAAAACCAGCATACGTGTACGCTCTTTTTTTTTTTTTTTTTTTTACTTTGTATACTACTTAAGTCTACCAGGAACTTTGAAGTTCGAACAGATGTGAGAAATGTGTCCTCAGGGGCCCCTGAACAACAAGCATATGTTCTGACTCAGAGGCTTGCTGGGGGCCACAGTCAGAAGACTCAAAACTTGTGGCGGACCCACCGGGAAGGTGCTCCACCTGGGATGCAGATAAAGATCGAGGATGAGGGAGGAGCGAGATAGCACAGCGCAGCTCCCACGCAAGACTCCAACGCACGTACTCCAAAATCGTGCAAGTGTAGAATTATAGCGAATACAGACAACAGCTGGGGTATACCCCAGCGGACTGACGGGATTGAACTGGACTGGCTGGTACCGACAGAGGTACCGCCCTGGACTGGACTGCCCCGAATAAAACACAGGCCTGTGAGAACAGGCCAAGGGGCAAGTCTCACAGGCCAACCAGAGGTCCGCTACACGATCCTCGACCTGTGATGGATCGCCTACATACAAGCACGCTTCTGCCAAGAAGCGGAACTCTACCAAAAAAAAAGAAAACCTAAATAGTCTAGGATGCGGAGCAAGCTCCATGCTGAGTCCATGCGATGCAACCTAGGATAGAAAATATCACAAAACAGCAATGTCACAGACTCACAGCTAACAACCTAAGTAAAAGCAGAAGCAACTAACTAGCAAACATGTCCTAGAAAAGCAGAAGCAACTAACTAACATACATGTCCTAGGACAGCAGAAAGTAATGACAACTAGATCCTAAAATGTTGGAGGCACTAGCCTCAGTCTGGAAACAGCTGACTAGTGTATAAGGCCTAAGAACAGCAAAAGCAGAACAGCTAAATCCTAGAATTGTCAGAGGCAGTAGCCTCAGTCTAATAGCAACAAGCAACAACAAGTCAACCATATGTCACAGGAATAGAGTGTCGCAAACCAAAGGGTGGGATGGTCTCTGAGGATGGCGAATGCAGCCTAGGGGTCGAAAACTCCTACGGGCATCCACACATAGTGACAAGGGGAACGCATGTCATCAAGCTCAATGAGGGTAGGGAACTCGGAGCGAACAGAACCAGTGACCCTAACAGATAGACCATCAGAGCAGGTAATGCTCGACTAAAGGGGTGACCGCTATGGAGGGTCGACCATGCAGGGGAACACGGAAGCCTGGTATACCGGCGCACCTAGATGAAGCATGCAAGGCTGCCTAATTAGGGTGTGAGGGCCCACAAAGGGTAGAAAGATGATGGTAAGGGAATCATGCAAATGACTCCTAAAGTGAGGGAAGTCGGAGCTAGATCCGTAAGCTGGGAAACCAGGGCAACGCTACGGTCCCGATGCCTATGCATATACCAAGGGAGAGCCCAACTCAGAGGAACCCGGCTAAAGGGAGATCATTATGCGACACAACAAGGGTATTGTACAGGGTAAAGTAGTAAGAGAGTGACGACGTCTGAAGTAGGCAGAGCTAATCGTGACGAAGTCCATGAAGCTGTCGATGACGTCCACGATGAGAAATCCGGAATGTCATCGAGGAAGAGTCGCAACGTCAACGAGCTGAAGTAGCAAAACTGGAGTGGATGGAGTACTGAGAAGTCAAGGACGTGAGAAGGTAAGTCAGATTCAATCGTCGTATTGAGCAGGATGACGACGAGTGCGCTGTGGACGCTTAAAAGCATTCGGCTGTTGCTGAAGGTCTACCTCAGATGGAGCAGGCTCGACTTCAGCGGTCTCCTCAACCGGGGGAGAAGGAGGGTCAGTGGGCTGAGGAGGAGCAGTAAACCCAGCACGACGAGCACGGTCATAGGCACGCACCAACATGCGAGCGTGCTGCAAGTGCTCGAGGGGCTCCCAGGTAGCCTCCTCATCAGGGTAACCCTTCCAACGTACGAGATAATCGACGTGGGAAGGGTTGTCGTCGGTGACTCGGCGACCAATGATGTCTGAAACGAGGAACTCCTCGTAGCCGTCCACCATGATGGGTGGCGGGCGCTCATTTGATCGTCCAGCAAAACGCTCAGACAGTCTGCGGTAAGGACGCAGTAACGAAATGTGGTAGACATCGTTCACATGAGTCTGGTGTAGGTAGTCGGGCAGCTTCACACGGAAGCTGACCGGGCTAGATGTCGTATCAAAACCAACGGCGTGGAGGATGCGGCATGGGCCAAAGAAGCAACGCCGAAACTTGCGAAGCGTATCCGCTTCGAGTTGTAATTGGCGGGTATCGATAAGCACATCATCACCGACTTTGAATGGAATCCTCCAGCGCGGGACAACTCGTGTCGGGGTGCATCTGCGACGGTCGCAGGAAGTCCGCGGGAACACGAGGGTGATAGTTGAGGTCGCAATAGTAAGACGACATCCCCGTGGCTGGCGAGACGGCGTGGTTGTAGGCTATCTCCACGTGGGCAAGATGGAGGTCCCACTGCTGGTCGTCACGAACAATCTTTCGGAGGATATCTCCGAGAGTCGTGTTCGTGATCTCGGTCTGACCATCAGTCTAAGGATGGTAAGACGAGGAGAAGCGGAGCTGTGTGCCGTACACCTCGTGGAGCAGTCGCCAGAATCGGCTGGTAAAGCGCGGGTCACGGTTAGATATGATGCTCAGAGGTAAGCCGTGGTCACGCACGACTCGGTCAAACACAATGTCGGCGACCTCACTTGCACTGATAGCATAGCGGCACGGAACAAAGCGTGCACGCTTCGTGAAGCGGTCGACGATGACCAGGATAGCATCATGACCGCGGGGGGTCGAAGGACGAAGAGGACCGATAAAATCCATCGAGATGGACTGCCAACGACCCTCAGGGATAGGAAGAGGCTGAAGCAAACCATAAGGAAGGTGATTCGCAGTATTCACCTCCTGACAGGTGGGACACTCTGCGACGCAGTCCTTCACAAAGTCCTTGCGCTTCGGCCAGACGTACAGGCGGCTCACACGAGCCAACGTCTTGTGGAAGCCCATATGACCGGCGGCTGCCTGATTATGGAACTTTGCTACTGCTCGAACACGGAGTTGTCCAGTGGAGGGAACGCAAATACGAGGCTCTTTGGTGCCCTGTGAACCGTACCAGTACACGAGACCGTTGTCCCCGAGAAAGTAGTTCGGGACGGTCTTGCCACTCCGAAGGGTCACGTGGATGTCGCGATGGTCGGGGCAGTGGTGGTACTGAGTGCGAAACTCGTCGATCACCGAGTGGTGGACGGTGGTGACCGAGATGGAAGAGAGCTGGATCTGCTCCTGATCGTGGTGAGGGCGTCGAGATAAGGCATCTGTGACACGATTCATCTCAGTGCTAAGTGGTGAAACTAAATTCGGATAGGTCGCGCCACCAACGAGCCTGTCGAGGAGTGAGTTTCGGTTTTGTCAGAAAAACCTGGACAACAGAGTTGT